CCTAGTATTACTTGCTCGTGAGATCTACTAATCGGTCCTTTACAATGAGGCAGGGAAAGACCTCTCTTGGGACCAAACACATGCACGAAACGTTTTCGAACACTATTAAGCACGAGATATCAAGGCATTAATTTTCCTTCCCAATTTCCATGTACACATATAGATAGTTGAAGCTCAACTACAGACTGCATTTTCTCATCCCAGCTTACTGAAAATTAGATGCCTATGAATACGTAAACATGATTAAGATATGAACGAATGGACTCAACTCTCGACTTGCCTATACACTATGATAAACTTTGGCTAACTAACCTTACAACAAGTTCAGTATTCTTGATGTGCATGTAAAAACCTGGTAACATAGTACGAACACCGGGTGATCCCTCTTGCAACAACCATGGCCCTTGAAATTACCCATCTGGAGGGTTATCCATGTCAACAGAAGAATCTGCTGTTTACTCCGGCTCTGTACAGCTGCAAGCACCCAGGGCCAGAAGCGTGAAGCTTCACCTCCGTGCGTGCCAGCACAAAGAAAACATCCCCTTCCTTTGCTACTCCTTCGTCAGGCATGCCATCAGCCTGGATCTCGCCCTCCCCAGTCATGACGAGGAAGATGGATGGGCCAGGCACTGGTAACATGGTAACCGATTCACCTTGAGGTAGTAAGTAGCGATCAACTTCGAACTCATCGAATGGGGGTGTGTAACGAATTACATATGGCTGAACCAGAACACCTTGCAAAATTTCGGGGAACATCTGCATGCACAAGATCAAATGTGTATTACTTAAGGGAATAAAGCATAGTGTTTTAGAGAATATTTAAGCAACATATGTAAAAGCCTCATTGGCCCATCGGATATTCCAGCCAAAGTCTCTCAATGTGATCAAACTCCAAATGTTTTCGAAAACCACTTCTAATTGCTAAACTATGTTACAAACAACCGATTTTAGCACACTAGCATGTCACAAAATAACCTATTACAATTAACCTGCAGCAAAAAATAATCAGAAACACTACTGACTGCCGATAGATGATGCTAAGCTGTATGCTGACAAAAATGAACACAATATGGCAAATAAAGAAACTGCATGCCAAAAGAATTGAGATTATAAACAGGACACTAGAGGTACAAATGAAAGGAACACAAAAAAACAAACCTGCTTGTATGTCAGCATGGAGCAAAGAGTTTGGACATCTTTGTACTTAGGAGTCAGACCAGCACGAATTACATTGTCTGAGGTAGCCATGCATTCAACACACTCTCCTGATAGATATGCATGTGGTTCGTTGGCACCAATGTAAAGTGCTTCACCAGGGCTGAGCTTAACATAGTTAAAGAAAAATGCTGATAAAACGCCAACATCTCCTGGGTACTGCTGCTCTAGTGATAAAACTAGTTGCTCCTTCTCTGTAAAGGTTCTAATCTGAATGGGAGAAGACATTATCAGTGCAAATAGTTGAATTACAAATTCTAGGTTTTCCAAAACATATTGACCTTTTTCTTCAAACCAGCAATAGCTGCATATGTATATTCCTAATGGTGTGATGATCCTGACTCAAGTAACACCAAGACAGCAAAATGAAAGTAGCAGAAAATAAATCAATGTGCTGTGAGGAAAAGAACAAAGACACCAATAACAAAGATATCTTATGCTTGCAATAGTTTTCAGATTATATACTGGCTCCATGTATGCAAAGTAAAACTTCATAAGATTTTCAATTAGGAAAACTCCTCCACAGGGAAAGCAGCAGTGCAGAAGTTAATAGTCTAGTTACATGTATCTTAGCGAGATTTTCAACTACCTAATTTGTACTGAATACTTGGGACATGCATTACCAAATGATGTTGGCTGCCCACTACGATATAACTGAATAATTAGCTTCAGCAAGCAGTGATATCGCTTTGGTGGCTACAACCAAACGATGATTACTACCTAGTTAGCTTGATTGTCTCATCGTTAATATTCACAACCATCACCTTCCAAATTAAATACCCAGCTTAATACTCCCAGAATCTTTTTGAGTTGAAATGAATACTTCTTCGGTGTCTACGTGTTCCATAGGTAGGATCCTAGAGCAAAATCAATTATTCCCAGACAACCATCAACTACACTAGTGCGTAGTTATAGCAATCCTACTCCCACCAGGGCAGCTCCATAAATATTGGTACTTATGCATTCCCTTCAGCGGATTGAGATGTTACTCTGAAGCAGCTATCAAAATTCATGTTTACTTATTTATAGCATAGCGCATACATAGTTTATACGTGCAGTCTTTAAGGACAAGTAAGTAACAATTCAAATTCAGATCTATTGTTCTACCTTTTCCAGGTAGTCGACAGCTATTCACAGCTACCTACACCAAAGAAGAGTTCGGCCCAATGTTTTATTTCTGTCTTAGTGAAACCCGATTCAACACTAAAAGTATATTGACTCTTTCCCAAGACATTTTTCTGTAAATACTGCATATTTGGTTCCATCCATAAATCTAATTTCCCTCCTATTCTCTGAGTTCCAGAGATTCCATGGATAGAGAGTCAGTTCCAATAGACTTATGGAACGTTCCCATTCGTGTGCATCCAGCAGGAATTGAACCGATAAATTTACCAATTATGAGTTGGTCGCTTTAACCATTCAGCTATGGATGCTTAGCAGGGATCATCGTACATCATAAATAACCAATTTTCATATATAAAGACATATCATAGAAGAATGAAATCAGTTACTCATATTTACTATATTTTTTATACTGTACAGTTGGCCTAAAATAATTTTTAGACACTGGAACTGTAAGAACCTGGAAAGCAAAAAATAAATAAAAAATTAACCAAAAGCATTTAATAGCCAAGTGTAGGTCTCAAAAAATTACTGTCATATACGACAAGATTGACCTACATGACTGGTAGGTAGCATTCAACTATGCTTTTCCTAGACATTTCCTATGACTTTCACTTCCACCATTGTTAAGAAAGAAAATAAAAAATGGAGGAGCTGCTTATGGTTGATACACAAACATGGACAAAACAATTGCAGATAGTAGAGCACTAGGAAACGAGAGATACTGACATCAACCTCCCAGTGAACACAATCATAGGTAATTCAAATGAACATGAAATTGTCTATGCCAATAACCCAGCAAAGATATTTACCTTTATCTCCCCATTCAAGCGACTCTTTAATTTGGAAATTGCTTCAGCAACTGCTTCTTTGCTTGTTGCCATTAGCTTAGTAAAAGCTGATTGCAGATATGACCTTACTCCAATACCTCCATCGTGCTCTTTGGCAGTCATAAGCTTCACAACATCTTCTTTGCCAACTAACATTCGAACCTCAGGTACAGTCCTCAAAACATCCTTGAGCTCCTGGACCACAGTATGAATAAATCAGTACTTGATTCTAAAATGATCGACTGTTAATTGCTTACAGTTCCAGAAGCTCATAGTTAATATCATAGCCCACATTTTCAACAACCGAGTGTTTGCACTATCTGGAACACCATGCATCCTTTTTGGAAGAATATAACCAATGCAAGATAGAATTTGAAGCATCTAAAAAGAGGCAAACTGTACTTTCTACGAAACAGGATAGTTCTTCCAAAATGAATATAGCAAAGGTTTCTCTGCTCCATACTTCCCTCCCTAAACGTACCTATCTAATTATTAGTCAAGAAAAGAGGAGTGCCTCTTACAATACTTTAGCTACACTAACCATTTAGCCAACAAGAATCTAAACTTCACCGTAAATACTTTACAAGAGTCTAATAGTTATCCTAATAACCCTTATTTACCCATCTGGTATGCAATAAAAAAACTATTGCCACATAGCAAATTCAGTCGAACAAACATCAGGCAACGCCAATTGCACAGCAGCTTTGACTATCCATAAATTTCCTGCCACCTACCAAACCAGCGAACTTTTCCAACCACATCGCTGGATGTGATTTGGACAGAATGTGTGCATGGGGCCAACAATTAAGGTGCCAATGCCGCCGAGGCATATCCAGGACAACTTGCTGGACGCCATCACTGTCTTCTGAACAAGGACCACGGTACCTCATGGAAGGCAAGTGATTTGCCAGCATGTTCATACTCTGTTTTTAAACTCTTCTTCTGACAAAATTTCTAAAAAAGAAACAAGGGTTGCTCACCTAAATGCAGATGGTACTTCTGCGAATAATCAGACCTTGATCGTTGGGCTGTCAGTGAGCAATTACACTATTCTACAGTTACAAATCTCTATTATTATTATCAAACTCGTTAGCAGCCAGATCCACACCCCACTTGGTATTTTGACATTGGTCAGCTCATCCCACCAACCCATCAGGAATCATATTGGGAATCTGCTTGCCACGTCGAATAAACAATCCACCTACCGCATCAAACTTCGCTAAGTAACTAACTCAACGCATCAGCTGACCCTATTAATAATTCCAGGTCAACCAAACCATTAGAACAATCGCAGATCAGCGTAGATGGAAATGAATCGGCCATTCAACACAGCAGCGATTCAACAGTACGTGCACGCAAGGAATGCAGGGGCACAAACCTGGACGCTGACGAAGCCGCAGAGGGCGCGGAACTCGGTGACGGCAACGGCCATCTCAGGCTTGTGGTTGGCGTCGCGGTACGTGGTAGGGCGCAGCGCGTGGAGCGCCCTGGCGAGCTCCCTGTCCGGATGCGCCTGGATGGAGAGCGGCTTCGCCACCGAGAGCACCTTGAATAGGAAGGGGAGGTCGCCGTCCCAGCGCGCGGTGACGGCGCGGCCGAGGAGCGCAGCGGGGTTGCGCGCCAGCCACTCCCTGAGCGAGACCGCGCCCCCGTCGTCGGATGCTAGCGACGACGGGGCAGCCGGGTGGGTGCCTATCCAGAGCTCGGCGCAGGGGCGGCCCTCCTCTGTCTCGCCGGCGAGGCGAGCGACGAGGGAGGCGTCCCCGCGGCTGCCCCATTCGTAGTGCTGCACGGCGCCGCGCAGCCGTAGGACGCCCTTGGGGGGAGAGCACGGCTTCAGCTCCGGGTCGTGTTCGCGGTCGGCGGGGAGGAGGAGCCCCAGGCCACCCATCGCGCCTAACCCTAGCCCGAGGCCGAGCCCCAATTGGGCGGAGGAGGAGGCGGTGGAGGAGGACGCCATCGAGGCAGCGAGGGCGTCGTCGGCGGGAAGGAGGAGGATTTGGTCTGCGCGGCCGTTGGGTGGGGGGCGAGTGGGCAGTTGCGCGGTTGGGTTTTCTGGAGGGAAATGCGAACGGAAGCGGTGAGGGGAAGAAGAAGAAGAAAGGAAGAGGCGACGACGACGGGAGGCGAAAGCGAGAGGTGAGGCCGGAAAGGGTCAAGCGAGGATGGTAGCCATACCGCGGCAGTTTGGCTCGGTTTGCGGTGTGAAGGCTGCGGATGCGGTCGTTGGGCCCGCATGTCAGCCTAAGTGTGTCTCCGGTTCGAAAGGACCACATGTGAGTGACTACTAGATCGCGACCCGGCAGTGGGCGCGGTGGAACGATGAATATGGGCATCTTCAAATCTGACCCGCAAATCAATAGGCAATTCGTTCACACACGGATAAATCTGTCTGCGGATACGGATGTGAGAGCCAGCCATTTAAAGCTATCGTTTAGTCCGGTTGCATTACAGACGAAATTTAACGAAATTGATCCAATTCGATTCAAACTCAAACAAACCGGGTGATATTCTTTAATTTAGATTAGGACCTCATAGGCCATGCCGGGCTGGCCAGGCGACTCCTCCGTCATCATCATCGTAGTCATTGTCGAAGTCGCCGATCCTCTCTGCTTGCTCCTGCAGCGACCACGGCTACCGACGACATGGGCGAAGGAGGGCGACGGGCCTTGGAGGAGGCGGCGATGGCGGCGGACTCGCGGTGAGACCACTCCTGGTTGTACTTGGCCACCTCCTCGTCGAGGCTGCGCAGACGGGGCTTGCTCGTCTCCGCCGTCATCTTTGAGTTGTCCAGGGCCTAGGTAGTGGCCAGCTATGGGTCTACCGTGATGTGTGGCGGTGGGACGACGGAGTCGCGCCGCGCTGCGCATGTCCCCCGGCATACTCATCTGCTGTTGGGGCGCTCTGGGAGGACGAGCTACTGCAGCCGCCGAGGTAGTGGCGAATGCGACTACGCCTTCGCGGCTGTCGCATGGGGCATGCCGCCATGAGTCTGGCGGGTTGTCGGCAAGCGCCGCTTCTCCTTGACGCGGCAGAGCGGCAGAGAGCGTCGCTCCTCCTTCACGCGTCGAGGCGGCGGGAAACGCTCCTCCTTGACGCGTAGGGGCGGCGGCGAGTGATACATCTCCAACATATCTATAACTTTTGCTTGTTTCATGCTGTTATATTATCATTCTTGGATGTTTTGCAATCATTTTATAGCAACTTTATATCTTTTTGGACTAACTTATTGACATAGTGCCTAGTGCTAGTTGTTGTTTTTTTTACTTCGCAGAATATCAGTACCAAACGGAGTCCAAACGCAGCGGAACTTTTGGGAGAATTTGTCTAGACCAGAAGACACCTGTTGGGACAAAGAAGTACCAAAGGGGGTCTCCGAGGGAAGCACAACCCACCTGGGCGTGCCTGGGGGCGCGTCCTGGTGGGTTGTGCCCACCTCTTCCGACTCCCGCACCGCCTCTTTGCTCTATAAATACCCTAGAAATCCAAAACCCTAGGGGAGTCGAAGAAACACAATTCCAGCCGCCGCAAGTTTCAGAATCACCAGATCCAATCTAGACACCATTAGGAGGGGTTGGTCGTTCTCATTGGTGCCTCTCCGATGATGCGTGAGTAATTCATTGTATACCTATGGGTCCGTTATTAGTAGCTAGATAGCTTCCTCTCTCCCTGTTTTGATTCTCAATACAATGGTCCCTTGAAGATTGGTTCGATGTAACTCTTTTTGCGGTGTGTGTTTGTTGGGACCCGATGAACTTTGAGTTTATTATCAGATCTATTTATCCATGAAAGTTATTTAAGTTTCTTTGATCTCTTATATGCATGATTACTTATAGCCTCGTATATCTTCTTCGAATCTTTGGTTTAGTTAGGCCAACTAGATTGTTTTTTCTTGCCATGGGAAGAAGTGCTTTGTGATGGGTTCGATCGTGCGGTATTCTTTCCCACTAACAGAAGGGGCAGCAAGACACGCATGTATCATTGTTATTAACGATAACAAGATGGGGTCTATTCCTACATGAATAGATCTTGTCTACGTCATGTCATCGTTCTTATTGCATTACTCCGTTTCTTCATGAACTTAATACACTTGATGCATGCTGGATAGCAATCGATGTGTGGAGTAATAGTAGTAGATGCAGGCAGGAGTCGGTCTACAAATCTTATACGTGATGCATATATAATGATCATTGCCTGGATTCGTCATAATTTGAAGTTCTATCAATTGCCCAATAGCAATTTGTTTACTCGACATATGCTATTTTCTCGAGAGAAGCCACTAGTGAAATCTACGGGCCTCGGGTCTATTCTTTATCTTATTTGCTTTGAGATCTATTTTTATTTGCTTCTGCTTTCAGATCTATTATTCTAAAAACCTAAAAATACCTTGCTGCACTTTTTCTTTATTTATTTTATTTTGTTTTATCGAGAGATCTATTTATCCAAAATCATGCAAACCAATCTATCTTTTACCCGAGAGGGATTGACAACCCCTCTTACGCGTTGGGTTGCAAGTATTTGTTTTTTGTGTGCAGGTACCGTTTACATAGTTTTTCTTGGTTCTCCTACTGGTTTGATAACCTTGGTTTCATAACTGAGGGAAATACCTACCGAAGTTGTGATGCATCATCTCTTCCTCTTCGGGGAAATAGTGACGCGGATACGAGCCATCAAGAAAGGATTCTAGCGCCGTTGCCGGGGAGACATCATCAACATCTATCAGGTTCCTAATCACAAATCTCATTTGCTTGCAATTTACATTATTTGCCATTTGTCTCTTGTTTTCATCTCCCCCACTTCACAAAAAATACCATTTTATTCGCCCTCTTTTTTCGTTCGTCGTTTTCTAGTCAGATCTCTTATTTTCTTGAACTTGTCACCGTGAGTGACTTTGGTATGGCAGAAATTGATGATGGCCTAACTCCTAAAGTTGGACAATCTGGCAATCTAGATACCAAAACTTTTGTTTTGGGGCAAGGAAACGCTATGGGAAAAGAACATATCCAATAATTTTTAAATTGTGTTGGAAATTTGACTCTTCATGATGCTCCTATACTTAAAAGAACTAAGTCTTTTGCGGAAGCTATTTCAGCACTAGTTCTAAAACTTTAAAGTAGATTTATCCATACCAATCCTACCTTGCAAAGATTGTTTTATGAGCTACCAGCTATAAAAGATCTTAAAGCTAAAAAGATAGCTACCCAAGTTCTTATGAATGAATTTGATTACATAGTACGGGAAGCTAGGGAATTTTTTTATTTTTATGGTATGAGCCGTGAAAAACCGGTAATAGATGAGATCCTTTATAATAGTGATTACATGTTGAGACATTTCCTTGGAAATAACCAAAAAATGAGAAACTTAAAAAGGAAATCCCCATTTTAGATATAATACAACAAGTTTTCAATGATGTTAATCAACAATATTCTTGGATTGTTGCCGAAAATCAAAAGGGATATTTGATGGGCAACTTGATAGTGCTAAAATCTCTATGGATAATGTGTTTCAAGTTATTTTTGCAAAACCTCCTAATAAGAACACATATACGGAAAATAAGAATAAAGATGACAATACTTAGATCTATGTTTTAAGCCTAACTAGGGGGGGGGGGGTAAAACGATAGCGCTTGTTGGGAGGTAACCCAATGAATAAAATTTAATTTTGCCTTTTTCTTTCTATTCTTGAGTGTTTGCACAATTATGCCTCTGTTATGATTGCATTTTATGATTTAGTTAGTGTTTGGGCCAAGCAAAGCCTTTGGTATCATGTTGGGTGATAGTTGATTTGATCTTGTTGAAAAACAGAAAATTTGTGCGCTAGTGACAGAATTGTTTAAAATTACAGAAGCATGACTAAATTCTGAATTTTTTTTACACAAGATTGATATGCAAATTGCCTAAGTTGTCCTAATTTTTCAGAATTTTTGGAGTTACATAAGTATACAAAGTTTTCAGATTGCTATAGACTGTTCTATTTTTGACAGATTCCGTTTTCTTTGCGTTATGTGCTTATTTTGATGAATCTATGGACTTTATCGGGGGGTATAAGCCATAGCAAAGTTGTAATACAGTAGACATAATGCAAAAATAAAATATAAATGGGTTTGCAACAGTACTTAGAGTGGTGATTTGCTTTCTTATACTAATGGATCTCACAAAGGTTTTTGTTGAGTTTTGTGTGATTGAAGTTTTCATGTTTTGGTTGAGATCATGATGGATGAAGGAATAAGGAGTAAGAAGAGCTTAAGCTTGGGGATTCCCCATGGAACCCCAAGGTACTATCCAAAGAGAAACAAGCAACTAAGCTTGGAGATGCCTCGAGTGGCATCCACTCTTTCTTCTAACGACCATCGTTATTTTACTTGGAGATATATTTTTATTCGTCACATATCATGAACTTTGCTTGGAGCGTCTTGTATTATGAGTCTTTTCTTGTTTTGCTATTTAGTTTGTCACAAGTATCCTTGCTGGACACACCTATTTGAGAGAGCCAAAATTATGTTATGAATTGCTGGAATTGTTCTTTATGCTTCACTTAAAAAAATTGAGATATGGAATTGCTCTAGTGCTTCACTTATATCTTTTTGAGCATGGCGTGCTTTAATATTTCTGAAGAAATGCTCTCATGCTTCACTTAGATTTATTTAAGAGTTAGTAAATTTTTAAGAAATTCTCTCATGCTTCACTTATATTATTTTGAGAGACGAAAAATTTTATGCTCATGTTCTTCACTTAGATTTGTTTGAGCTTGCCAAAAGTAATTGCAATACATGAAACTAGTCCCAAAGTGATAGATATTCAAGAGGGATATAATAAAAACTTTCGTGAAGATCATTGGACAAAATAAACTTGATTCTTTGTAATAGTTTTGCGATATGATGATAGTGATATGTGAGTCATGTTGGTGAGTAATTATGCTTTACTAAGAATATTGGTGTTAAGGTTTGTGATTCCCTATGCC